CCGTCTAGCACTAACAACCGGTATGCACCTTTTGTCGAACTTCTGGTATGTTTGTCGAAATGTTTAATCCATTCCAAGCCAGTCTCATTGTTCGTCCACCCATTTTCTGTGGGTTTGATTACCCAGGAGCCTGGTAGACCACCCTCGGTATACCAATTGGCGAGATGGTATGAGCCTTGAACAACCAGGAATGGAGGGATGTCACGACCCTCCCCATTGATGCAAGTAATTGCTGTAGCCCATTCCCAGTTACCTGGCTGTACTTTCTTGCCTTTGCCCTTCCGATCAGACCGAGTTACAACTATACAGCTGCAGATGATACCCATCATGAAGCCCGTTTCATCAAAGTTCCATGTATCGCCATCTTGTATGCCATACTTAGCTTTTATATTTGTCACAAGCCGGAACCAGTCTTCGATAAGCTTCGGATCTTCGCATAGGACCCTCTGAAAGTCGTAAGAACGTGAAAAGCCTGTCTTTAGCTCTGGGGTACGTTTCACGAAGCGATGCACCCAGAGCTTGCCGATGCATCGCATTCCACATGATGCGAGGATGTAGTTGGCCATATCTTCTACATCTTCGAGTCGGGGAGAGAATCCTCGATCATCTAGGTCTAGGATATGCTTAATAAGGACACTCTCTTCGAGTGCATCCAAATTATGTGATTTTGGTCGAAATTCTTTCGCTGGCATCGCACCCGCTATTCTATTGCGGAGGGAGGAAAATGGTACATTGTAGAGCTGGGCTGCATGTCGTATGCTTATTTTCTTGGAGGATCGGATTGCATCGATGGCCAGGATTATTCTGGCTTCTTTTGATTGCGCTGCCATTTGTTGTTGTAGAGAAATCGCGTGTTGAAGTTGGGAGGTGTGATGGTGGGGAAAAGTGATCCGAGTGCTGATATGATCCGAGTGCTGATAAACCACGTTATGAGCAATGCATTTCCTCAATCCTCGTTTGTGTATTCCACATCTATCCATATGCCTGGAAGATGCAGGATCATAGTAACCCACGTGTACGAAGTTCGCAACACAATTGGAAACCCTGAGACGGATAGTTGGTGAATTGAAGGCACTTGATACAAAAGCAGCCCTTTGGATAACCAGTACGTGGATGGAACAGTGAAGAATCTGGCAACGTGGTACTCATGGCTGGAAGTTGGCGTGCTTGATAACAAGAAACACTGGCGGTCACAGAGCTTCAATACCCTGAAACAGTGAGCCTGCAGGCATCTAGAATTCTGCACAATGAGGACGTCGAATGTCAAACATAGCGTAGCCTTCGTTAGAGAAAGCTCTTGTCTTGTCATCTAAGGAAAGTCAAAACTCGCACTCCTGCATATGTTCCCCTTGTTTATCCTCGCCCGCTCTCACTCAGCCCAGGCGGGTTGCTATCATCGGTTCTGTGTCTCGCACCCGACATTTTCCACTAGCTAGTCGCAGGATTGTTTCTACTTGAGGAGAATGGTTGCGCAGTGGCTTCTGACCAGAGCTCGTAATTCACCGGAAGAGTGGCCACACATGGCCTCACACAACCTGCTCAAAGTCAATCGCACCGCATTACACTGTGCTACCTGGACGAACCAGGGCATTTCACTGGAAACTGGATGTAGCTAAATCCAGAGATACGGATATTTAGTTATGTGCATCCGATGTCCCTAGTTATACACATAGTTTCCCAGTGTTGATTCGTTCTATGTCCTGGATTCCCTAGATTAGGGGTTTCTAACAGTAACCTTAGTCAACGTCCAGCTCAATTCGACATTGGCTACCACATAGATACTAGATCAAGTCCTACAAAGCTGCATTCGAGATATCGTTCACCAACACAGACGAAATACGGACGAACCCCTCAAGACGGGGAAACATTCACCTGTGACCTCCTGTTACGCAGAGAATTACGCCGAGCTACTGCATCCGATCTCTCTAGTTATATGTTTGATTGCTTCCATGTCGTGGATGTCAGCGGTTTTCTAACCTTCGTTGGCGTACTGGTCAATTCGACATTTGACCAACACATGTTAGATTAAGTCTTCCAAGTCTGCATTCGAAATTCTTCGAGGACACGGACGAAATACGGACAAAACCCTCGGGACGGGGAAACATTCCCTCCGGCTACGCAGAGAATTGCGCCGAGCTACTGATAACGGGGAAATAGGCGCTTGAATACAGCAATCCTTCAGGATAATATGGCCAATCTACGTCCAGCCTTGTCATGCCAACATCATTAGATACTAGATTGGCCCATGTGGACAAGGGTCGCACACGTGTCTGAGCTTACAAATCTGCAATGACAAAGAATGTTCTTGATGATTGCGCGAACACTAGTGGTCAACACATTCCTACTGTGGAAGTCACAAAGTGTCAATATAAATGTGAACCCACTTCTCGCTGTTGAGATTTAGCAGGACGATTGATTGCGCGCCTGACTCAACTCGCTATCGTGTTGAACTTCCAGTTACACATCTCAACAGCGTAATCATTGAGAAAATGGCCAACACCGTCGTTTTCATCACTGGGGCAGGAAGAGGTAATGTTGGATCTTCATTATGTGTCTACATCATCTAAGTCAATACAGGCCTTGGCAGAGCCCTCGTCGAAACCTATCTGCAACGACCTAATCATACTGTCATCGGAACCGTTCGGGACAGCACCTCTTCCGCCTACGATGACCTTAAAAACTCTCCAACAGCGTCGGGTTCAAAGTTGATCCTTCTCTCGCTGGATTGCTCACGACTAGAGGACCCAGCAAAAGCCATTGAAGCCGCGTCGAATGCCGGGATTTCGCACATTGACCTCCTCATCGCAAACGCCGCTATTGCGTCGGCCGGAGAACCTCAATCCCTTGCCCTGAAGGACGTCGTTGACGTTTTGAACGTCAATGTCATCTCTCCTATCGCTCTCTTCCAGGCCGCCAAGCCTCTCCTCGACAAGTCTGCGAAGCCCATCTGGATATCGGTGAGCAGCATTGCTGGCTCGATCGCATCGATAAAAGAACAGAAATTTACCCAGTTCCTGCCATATTCCATGTCCAAGACGGCATTGAACAACTTCACTGTGACTCTGCATGGCGCAGAACCTCATCTTATTGCCTACGCAATTCATCCTGGTTTTGTTCAAACGGACATGGGAAATGCGGGGGCGAAGAAAATGGGATTGGAAAAAGCTCCTAATACTGTCGAAGAGAGTATTGCGGCAATCGTTGCTTCGGTATGTAACGCTCTCAACTACAGCTTCTTGTACTGTGTCCTAACAGTTCAGTAGGCTGATAAGGCGACTCGAGAGGAGACTTCTGGGAAATACTTGGACGTGATATCGGGTCAAGAGCTACCGTGGTAGAGGGGTAAGATATGCCATTGAACGACAGAGGACCAACCCTTGGGAAGAGATAGGTTCGCTGTAGGGTAGCATTAGATCCATGGACTGTTCACGTGGGATGCGTACACACATGGTCGATTGGGCATCTAGCTTCAAAAATGATGATGTTGACATTGTCTGATATCTTCACATCCGGCATCACAGTTCAAGTGAATTAGCGAGGCAATTCCGCAACCGTGTTAGTCCCAGAAGCCCAAAGCGATGGCGGAGACCAGAGAGTCATGGTTTTCGATTGAGTAGCGCGTTAGAGCTCCGTTTCTAAAAGATATATCATGATCCCGAGTATTGCTTAAAAGCGGGTGAAATCTCTCAGCATTCTCTAGTATTTGGTTGGTCAGTGTCTTCAGGTCCGTCCTGCACACGGGAGGCGCAAAGGTCCTTGACAGGTGTTGGCTTCGAGTTGACTCGGACTAGTTCTCAGGCAATTGAGGCCGTTATGCTGATGGCGATGAGGCGTTTTTTCCATCCCGTTGCTCGACTGCGTCGACACGAGATCCCATCCGATATTGAAGGCAGGTGAGTGTATCAGTAGAACCCAGCTTGCTTCTTTACCCCTCATGGGGACATCTTGGGATACCTGACACGTCCGGCCAACCCAGATAACTGCTTCTAGACCACCTCACTTCCAGTTTCTGATGATGGTAATTGGCAACTACAGCGGGCTATGAGAGAAACTTGCTGCCTGCTGTGATAACCAATCGCAAGTCGTGCTTAAAAGTTCTCTCCGGTTGAGGGCAGGGGGTGACGCTGTATTGCACACGCGAGTGCACCCGGGCACGATGCGATTGACGGTGTTCACCGTAAATTGAGTCTCGCATGAAAGATGACAATGCCTTCCTAGAGCGTGTGACGGCCTTCAGAGAAATTCTGGACCAATTCCGGGTTGAATTTTACGAGCCAGATTGGAATATCGTGGTGTGACGCTGTCGTTTCCAGCAGTGATGTAGTGACTGGTGAGGCTGAGCGTGGCGAGATGCAGCCACATTGGTTTCACGGATCGCAACATCTATGGGATATCGAGCTGTTCACTAGGCTTTCCAGTTGTGTCATACCGAATATAGGGATATAAATGTCGAGCCCCATCCCCGCAAAGTCAGGCTAGGTATCCGCAATCTGAATCACCTCGTGGTCACAGCCGCTACTCCGCCTAGATTCCCTATCTCTTTTCCATTCTCGTATCGCAAGATTTCCCGCCCCACGACAAGGCCAGGTGCTGCTTCTTATGACAGAGAACTGAGTCTTTCATAGGGTGAGCTCCAGCAACAATCTCATACTCTCCTCATTGTAGAAGTCGGGAAGCTGACCAAAGAAGAGTGCCAATTTTTCGCCTTGTTTCCACGACTCCGTTGGGCCTTATCCCAGGAATGTTGTGGACGTACGGAGAATTAGCATTCAACCCGAAGACGATCGATGCGTCAATTCTAAAACGGGCAATTAGCATGTTTCCTCACTGCTGTATACAAGCACATTCAAGGTTCAATATTCGCAACCCAGCTGGAACAGTTTCGTGCTTTGAGATAGCATTCATACACTGAAAGGCACTACCCATACAAGAGCCGCTCGACCTCCTCCGCAATGGCCAAACTACTCGTCAGCCCCGGACTCTCAATGCCCAAAAGATTGACAAACCCCTCAAATCCCGCCTCCTTCTTAATGTAAAAATCCTGGAAGCCCTTCCCACCCGTCGCAACGGCTGCTGCTTTCCCCAGCTTCGGCCTTATGCCGACATAATCCAGCTCTACAGCGTCTCTATCGATGCCGGGAAGGTAGGTTTGAATGTCGTCCAGGGCTGCGACCAGATTCTTTGCATTGGGTGTATAATCATTCGGATCGTCTGTCCATTCTACGTCCGGCCCAAAGCGAATTCTGCCGCCCATGTCGAGCGTGAGGTGGGTACCAAGACCACCGTGGCCAGGTACAGGCGCTGGATAGATGAGAGTCTTTGGACGAGGATGAGAGAGGGAATAAGAGAAGTAAGTGCCCTTGGCATAGTAGGGTGTGCGGTGTCTATCCTTCGGCAAGATCATATTGGAGATGGCTATCGCGGACAAGCCGGCCGAATTCACTAGCGTGGATGCGGTAATGGTTGTTTCTGAAGATTCCGGCGGTGCGCCTCCGCCCTGGTGGGCGGGTGAGGTAGTCGTGGTGATACGCCAACCACCAGCACCGCCATTGATGGGCTCGATATGGGTGACGGGGCTATGAAATGCGCATAGGCCGCCTCTATCCAGGAAATCGCCTTCAAGAAATTGCATGAGAGAATGCGAATCCACTATCCCAGTGGTTGGACTCTCGAGTACGCCCGCCTCTGCTCGGACATCGGGTTCCCTTCTAAACGCTTCTTCCTTGGAGAGGAAACGCGTCGGCACGTCTATGGTTTTGGAAAACTCATGAATCTTGGTTATGGCCTCCAGCTGGGTGTCGTCTTGTGCGACGATCCATTTGCCGCAATTGTTGTGCGGAATGTTATATTTCTTACAGGTTGAATACATCAGCTCTTTGCCACGGAGACATAGTTTTGTTTTCAGGCTGTCAGCTCCGTAATAGAGTCCAGCGTGTATAACCTAAGATGGCACGTCAGTACCTATATCCAGAGTGAATATAAGCATTATTCACTATCGTGAGGCCCAGTAATGGGGCAAATTATATGACTGAGGACAACGCATAGATGAAGCCGCTTCTCGTACCTCAGAATTCCTCGAACTTGTTTCTGTCCCTACGGCGCCATGTCTTTCGATTAGAATTGTGGACGCCCCCTCCCGCGCCTGCAACTGCCTCGCTATTGCCAGCCCAACCACTCCGCCACCTATTACTGCATGTGTGAAATCAGTATTCAATGGAAAGGTTGTACTGAACCTTCTACCAAGCTGATTTGATGCAGACGTCCGTAAGGATGCAGCAAGCGAGAACATGGTGGCGAGTTACGAGAAAGCTGAAAGACGGAGGAATTTTTGACACAAGTCAATGCAAAGCGCTAATAAGAAAACAAACAACAATTTTAGTAACAGAGGGGTATCTGAAATGGAGGGAGAAGATGCTGGGGGGATGTGTCTGCTGTGCTGGGATTGAGTGACGTTCATCGTTGATAGCCGCGACGCTATGCCCAGTCGAGCGATCACTACGCTAGTCTAATACAGGATAGCGTCATTAACACTACCACTGTCTGCTTCTCTTCTCAGCGACAAATTAAGAACGTTGGGTACTATGCTCCATGAATTTTTACAAAATGTGTTCATATTTGTAGTAAGATGAGCGACAGTCGTCCTAGGAATATCAGCGCGACCCTATTAAAAGAGCTTCGGGTCAACGAGATGCTGGACGACCGACAATGCGGAATTCACTGTTGATGTTGTCGTCGATGAGCTACTACATTAAACTGAATGACTGGCAGTATCGCCTATACATATGACTTTAAGCGAAAGAGTTTGTCTCAAAGGATGCCTGGAAGATCACCGAGGCGTTACTTCAAAAAAAAGGAAGACAAAGTGACCAAAAGGTGTGTCTAAAGAATTTCAACTATAACTATGCATATGAATCCTTGCTTAGATTCTTTTTTCGTCATGGCTCGGCCGATCAGTAAGCAGGTAGTGGATGAGGGATTTGGGAATGTCAAATGGATATTGATCACTTGGAGCTCCCAATGCCCCTCTCCCTCAATCGAATTCCAGCAATTGCGAGTCCTGTTTGAAACAAGCTGAACAAGCTGGTTCCCCGTCATCTATGCAAAACGCCAACCTTTGCCTCTCACATCAACCCACCAAACCCCCAAACACCCTCCTTCGTCGACCTGGAGAATTCAGCTCTTCTTCCATCCCACACACCATGCCCTCCCCCTCCAGCCCCCCAAAACTCCACCTCTACACCTCCCTCCACAGCTCCTCCGCCGCCCGAATCCACATAGCCCTCTACCTCAAACGCATCCCCTAACCACAACCTTCGTCTCTCTCGACCCATCCACCACCTGGCCGCCCCCCACCATCACCTCTCTAAACCCCAGCGCCAAAGTCCCCATCCTCTCAATCACACCTCCAAATTCCACTACCGGCAACGAAGGGGGCGAGGACGGAAAGAACCCCATCATCCTCACCCAATCCCCCGCAATCCTAGAATACCTCGAAGAAACCTTCCCCTCACGCACTCCCCTCCTCCCGAGAGCCCCCCACGAATGGCAGAAACGCGCCAAGGTGAGGGAACTCGTGTCCCTCATCTGCACCGACATCCAACCACCCACGAACCAATCGTGCCTCCTCCTCATAAACCACCTTTCTACATCCCTCGCCACCTCCGTCCTCCCCGAATCCTCTTCCCTCGCACCTTTCACGCCCCAGAATCCTTCTCCGGGCAAACTTTTCGCCGTCCAGATCCTCACATCGGGACTTGCAGCCTACGACGCCCTGATCGCCGAATGCGCGGGGAAGTTTTCTGTGGGCGATGAGGTTACGTTGGCGGATGTGTGTCTTGTGCCTGCTGTGCTGATGGCGGAGGGGTATGGGGTCGATTTCAATGAGGAGAGGTTTGCGAGGGTGAGGAGGGTGTTTGAGGAGTGTATGGGGATGTGGGAGTTTCGGGAGGGGAGTAGGAGGGAGGGGGAAGAGAAGAGGCATCCGTGTGGTTTGGAGCAGGAGAACCCTAGGGTGGGGAGTGAGGAGAGGGGAGCAGAGGAATGAAGTGGGAAGGGATGTTTGAACGTTAAGACTGGAGATCGGGAATTAGGGATGCCAAACTGGTCAGAGAGATAGTGGGCGCCAGCATCCATACCCACCCGCCACCCAAATATACAAACAGAAAGCACTGAGATGACCTTGATGATAAAGCAGATTCAATCAACATCTATAACGTCCAACTCCCCTCTACAAAAAAACACCAACTCCTAATACTCATCTGCCGCCCTGTTCTTCAAAACGCAGAGAAACAATTGCATGGGTATCTAACTAAGGCGAGGGATGTTGTATCCTCGGTGGTATCTGAATATCTTGTTCCTCCTCTGCATGGTTGAAACGACGGCAACTCGCACTTCCAACGAGGGTGAATGGGACCCTAACCTGTCTTTCATCCAAAGCTTCCTCTCCCTTTCCCATAGATGCCAGGCTTCTTTCATGTAGAAGGCCCGACAACATGGGACTCCGGCTGTCGTTTCTTTCAACAACCAACATACCAAATAAAGCACCTTGCAACGCCCTTCGCCATAAATGAAAGGCATTTTCGATGTTGTTGAAAACTTGGAGTGGAGAAGCGATGCCAACTCCTCTTGTGACCAGATCATCTCCTCGAAGCCACTAACTCCGACGAGGTTCCAGCCAAATGTCTCCGCCCTTTCCTTCCTCCCACCTACTCCAAGCGATTGAATAAGCCTCTTCCAAATCCCTAACCCATCTCCTCGTGTCAAACAATGCACTCGTTGTCCTGGACTCATAAAGCAGCTTCCTAAGCATGCCCAATCTGCCTTGGAGCCGATGGCCGACATACTGGCAGGACGTGCCGAGTCTGACAGCCATATCTTCATACTCTTCTTCGTTGCTAGCAATGAGGTCCTTAGCAGCGCGCGTGCCTTCTTCGTTCTTCGGCAGCGCGCCTTTGAGAATCGATGATGCCATGCGTGAACACATTTTGTATTCGTATCTCGGTAGCGTGAGCAGAGGGGTGCCGGACCAGACAACATCCGCAGCGGTGGTATGGGCGTTACATTCGGGCGTGTCGAGGAAGAGATCGCAAACACGCGCGCGGGATATATGTTGATGTTTTGGGGCCACGTCTGTGAATATGATGCGGTTGGCGACGTCTGGGCTAGCCCATTGGAGAGCTTGACGACGAAGGTTGGTTTCGCCTAGGTCTGGGAAGCGGAGGAGCCAGAGAACAGCTTTGGGTACGCGTTCTAAGATTCGGAGCCATGTGCGGAAGGTGGTCGGGTCGATCTGGTTTACGGTCAGCTTCCATATAGATGCTCTGAGGTCGACGCCGTACCTTGTACAATTGGTTGAAGTTCCCAAAGATGATGACCTCGTCCGATAAGTGTGGGAAGATTTCCTTTCGCATGGCCCATCTCCTCTCTTGCTCTTCTTCCCAGCCCAATTGCTGTCTCGCATCGGGCGCGCTTTGTTTATGATCGCAACAGAAGAAGGTATCTCTGCAGAAAATGATGTTCTCCCCATACACCCAATTGTCGTTGTCATCGTCTTCTTCGTGCAACAAGTCCTCCATATCAACATTACGCCGCCAGGGCCGAAGTGTGGCCGGTGGTATTGACGTATGATCTGCGAGCAGATAGTCACACCACTCAGCGCCCAGGGTCCCAGCAAAACCCATAAAGGACATCTGAATGGGTGCAGGACGTGCAGCAAATACCTCGTTTCTCGCACCTCTGGTGTAACCGTTCAAATTGACAAGTATGTGAATCTCGTCCTCAACAATTCTGTTAACCAGCTGATCCGGAGACCAAAGATGAGCGTCGCGGAAAACGGGTGCCTCTCGCTCGATCTGCTGTCTATGTATGGATCCATCGCTCGCCGTTGTCGCATAGCAGAATGCTTTCACGCGCGTCGGATCGTGAAGTCCGAAAGCGGATTGCATCAGATGGGCAAGGGGATGGTTGTTGAAGTCCGACGATACATATCCGACATTAAGAACGGGCATAGGTGGTGGCGGGGGCGGATACACTGTGCGCGGCATCCAGGGTGACTTGAATGTTGAGCACGAGATCCGAAGTCCGTTCCTTTGAGAGATCATACGGATCTGCTTCGCTGACATCGGGCAGGTGAAAGTATGGAAAGGTAGAACGGTCGGGGCGGCAGGAACTGTGAGGGCCGAAGGAAGTATAGGCCGTTGGTAAGCCTCAGCATCACGCTCCTTGTGGTCTTTTCGATCATGGTACCACTGCCATCCTAACCTCCTGATAGCGCGTTCATAGAGGCGCATGAGCCGAGCGCCTTCCCATCTCTGGTCACGCCAAAGGGCAATTGTTCGCTGCAGGGTTTCTGTTCGGGCTTGAATGTCATCTTCGTTCCCCCGGCCACTTCCTATGACCAATGGCCGTAGGATGCTCGTCAAGAAGGCGTCGTCCATGATTCCACGGCCCCATACTTCTCCTTCAATGAGCTGCTTCTCAACAAGGTCCACGACCCGCTTGATCCAGCCAGAACTGGAAGCGCCGGGTAGCCTAGCATCCAGCAGCATTCCGTTGGCGTCAACATGCCAGCGATCCCTAGAACCACCATCATTTGCAATTCCGCCTCTTTCACGCCAGTCACAGACCGAATTGAGCGCATTAGCAAGCCCGCATACGGCCTCAGCGAAGTCTGGATTGGCCTGCACAGCCCTCCTGTAATAACCGATAGCGTCGCTTATCCGACCTTTGTCCTTAACAGCGTTCGCGAGATTGGCGAGGGCGATGTCGAAGTTGCCATCGCAGCGAACGGCATTTTCATACATCGAAATTGCAACATCCAGCTGACCAATATCTTTCAACAAGCTTCCCAGATTCGTATACAAATGGGCATGGCGGCTATCAATAAGAAGGCCGTAGTTATAGTAAGCCAATGCCAACGCAACGCCACTTCCTGGAACCAACCCGGGGATCCCAAGAGACTGCTGATCATCGGGGCGTGATACATATCTCGAGCGCGCCGACTGTTGAACGCTGGCCAGAAGTATGCCGACATTATTTGCTGTCGAGGGACTCTGCTGTAGCGAGAATGACAGGTAATATAATGCGAGTATTTCTCTGACACCATATATGGAGTGGTATGCCGACGCCCTCGGTGAGTTAACTGCCATCCCATCCTGGAAGATCTTGGCCAGAGACAAGAGCGAGTTACTGGTAGTCGAAACGGCCGCTTTCCAAGCCACACCTTCGGCCACGTATCGGAGTCCAGGCAATTCACCCTTTGGAGGAAAGCAGAGCGATGCAGTGTGGAGAGCGTGCTGAGGCGGTAGCAGGACGGGATCGTTGGAGGGCGGAACAAGACCACCGCCTGGAGAGCGCTCATTCGCATTGTAGCCAACAACGGAGAGGATGTGCTTAATGAGGCCTTGGATTCCGTCTGATTTGTACGAATGACGTCCTGCTCCGATCAGGATGGCGGTTTCAAACGCTTCGGCAGCGCCCGCATTATCTCCCATACCATAGAGTAGGTTGCCCTTCGCATGGACCAAGGCGAGAATGCGGCCGTTCTCTGATCCAGGAATGTTGTAACCGCTGCTTCCAAATCCTGGCTGGTCGCTGTGGAGTGCGAATTCTGACCGGCCGGCGTCGCTGCCAACTTCATTCTCAAAGAAAGGTCGATCCGACGAAACACTTTGCGCCTCACTGCCAGCTGACGTCGGATGGGAAGACCGTCGTGTTGGCTTCAGAGCCGCTTCAACCTTTTCAATAAGCTGTACAGCCTCGCGGGGCCTATTGTCCCCGCACAGCAGTCCAACGAGATGTTCCACGGCTTCGAAATAGCTGGGACGTAGTTCCGTCGCCCTTCTCCAGTACGCCTCGGCCTCCCGTACTTGCTTGAGGGCAAGGCAAGTGGCGGCGAGGTTCGAGATTGCTTCAACATGATTAGGATCGGTCTCCAGGATTCTCATGTACCACGCATGTGCCTTCTGGAAATCTCCTAGACCGTACGCAAGGCATCCGCCTAAGAGTATCCCGTCTCTCCAGGTCCAATTGCTCTCCTCAACAAACTTCTCGATCATACTCAAGGCTCGAGCAGCGGTCGTGCTCAGCGGCTCCGGTTGGAAGATTTGGTTCCACCCAGCAATAGAGGTTCCCGAAGTTCTGCGTAGCTGACGGGCAAGTGGGCGTCCATGTGGATACGGGTTAATATTACCTGCCTCGTGGGACAGAGCCTGCCCTACATTGACATTGATATTTGCAGGACCTGGATGGTACACATGCAGGGAATTGGAGCGCTGATAGTTGCCCTGTGGATGCAAACCGAAACCCTCCGACATCTTGGTCGCAATAGAATCCACCCTATCAATCCGGGGCCCTGATTCGCCATATCGGATGCTGTCTCTTCGAATTGTTGGCGTCATATCACCACCATTTGAAGAGTTGGCAAAGGCGGAGTCGGAAAGAGCGGATTGTCGAGGGGGTTTAGGGTAAACGTGCGGTCGAGGCTGCTGTCCCTTTGGATTCACCTTACGAGTTGCCTGCAGATACTTGAGCAAATCAATGTAGACTGTATGTGCCCAGGAGAACACTCGCTCCTTGGTCTGGGTATCTTGGGGACGTGGGAACTGAGCAAATGCCAGTTGTGGACTGCCCGAAGATACCAGAGATGACTGCTCATGGAGTGGGGGTATAAATGGTGGTGAACTCAGTGGAGGGAGAGCGGAAAGGCCCCAAAATGCTGATGGAGACTGCACAGTTTGCTGAAGAGGTGCTGGTCCGTTTGACTGTCCAATCCATGGATTTTGCGCAGTGTAGAATGGTGAATTTAGCTGGTTAGAATTCAGAGGAGTGTAATAATGTGGCTGGCGCAGTGCTGCGGGTTCATAGGGCCTATATGTACCATCATGCCAATAGGGACCGTAGGGAACCTGGACGTTCGAAACAGTAGGACCTAGATTGCGAAATGGTTCCATAGCACCAAGACCGGTCGGACCGTACGGAAAAGATTGTGGCGCATATTGGAACGCATATTGGAGGGGTGGGTTCGGGTACAGCACGGAATCTTGAGGCACCCACTGGCCCGTATATTGGTGAGCATCGTAGGTTGGCTTATAAGGATGGCCAGAGACGCGGCCCGAGCCCGTCTCGAAATACAAGGAAGGGCTCCAGTCTGGACTTTGATACTGAGGCCCAGGTGCAAGGTGATCGATTGGTGCCGACCTTAGCGGAAGCTCCTGTCTTTGTCTATATGGCTCGCCTGTCCCAGCAGTTGTCGCGTCGAGTAAGATGTGCTTCGTAGCGTGCGGCCTCGCCGTTTGTTCCACTGAAGTGCCATCGTATGCAGCTGGCAATATCCCACTTGGGGTTTTACGACGGAGCATATGCTCCGGAGGTTTCAAGTCTCCACCACCTTTGAACCTCTGCGATGGGCGAAGATACGCTTCTGTCGTTGACAAAGGGTGTGGGGCGTACTGCCGCGAGTCCTGCCCAGAACCATCATGATTCAAGGGGCTAATTATTTCGGTGATTGTCGGGAGGGAGAAGGGTGCTTCCTTGGGACCCAACTGAGGTGAAGAGGGTATTAGCGGTAGATTCGAAGGCGAATAGTCTCGATTATTCGTAATCATGGTGGAAAAATCGAGTCTTGATAATGGTTCGGTGGTCCTCTCGAGTGACGAAGAGTCAAAGGAGACGACCGCGGGGGTCTTGGAGGCTGGTAAACGAAAAAACAAAGTATGCGATGGTGTGAAGTGTAGGAGGACGTCATATAGGCTCGCAAAGGCTCAGGCGGCTATCTTATTTAGACGTGAGTCATGCGGAAGCCGCTGAAGAAATACCAGGACGAAAGGAGTTGGAACAACTCTAGAGGAGGAGCGGGAGGGAAGGTGGAGTCCTTGCGTGGATGTTTGTACGGATTGACGCCGTAGAAGCCAGGCAGACTCTTCCTCAGTTACCTCCGTCACCCAGACTGGCTCGTTCCTATGCCTTTACGATATTGTTGGCCGTGTGCGATGTGCTGCATATCTCTTAGGGGCCTATCTTGAGCTTGCCTCCGACACCCTGTAAACGCCAGGGTCGTCCTGAACACAGAGGCCGGTCTATGTTCTGGCCTTAACAGTATATCGGCGAGACGCTAATCGGACGGCCTTCGTTCGATGGGAGATGTCGGTGATGGTAATGGAGACGTGTCGTCGACTCGTTTGTCGGGTTGACACCAAAGCCCTCCTTGGCAGACCCTCCGAACTCGAAGTTGCTTTCTGTTGGAGGGGAACCAGAGTCAAAAGAAGGAAGGGCAATTACCATTCATGGAACGGGGCGCTCGGGAAGCTGGAGGAGGCAATGGTCGTTGTAAACGAGTATTGAAGCCGGTGGAAACGGATACTGCAAAAGGAGCGAAGTGCCGCTGTCCTGAGCGGTTGGACCTGGACGAAGGCAAGGATTGAGAACGCCCGGCCGCAAGCAGAGCAGAAGGAAAATCTCTGTGCTCGCGATGCGGATTTGGTCGGCTTGCTACAGTTACTGAACTGGTCTTCGTGTCTTGATTGTAGCCTGGACGGGTCCCCGGTAGCAGCAGAATGTAAGGGGTACCTAATGCGTGCTCACCCTGAACTCACCAGTTCCGGAGATGTGAATGTTGCTTGGTGAGGGTAGAACGAGTCCGTGAAGTTGAGGCGGCGAGAGTGTTGAAATCCAGGGAGCTGCTGTGCGAGGACGCACTGGATGTTTCGGAGGAGAGTGCGGCGTCGAAGCAGGAATAGCAGGAATGAGAGGGGCGCAGCAAGCCCGCAAGGGTCCACAGCTGCCAGCAGCGTCAGGGGTTGGAGTTGGGTGGATGGAGTAGGGAAAAGGTCGGTGAATGTCAAAGGCCACAGGCCGCGTTGGAACAGCAAATCCCGCGCAAAATGCGAGTGGCCTCTTGTTATTCGCAACACGATCGGAAAGGAAGACGGTGAAGCTCATATGAGGCGTCCAAGAGCTGGCCGCCATCAGCAGCACCCGGGCGAAGCGAGTTGTGGGACAGGCCCCCAACCGCCCTGTTCTTAGCCCTCCACTGGTTAAGAAAGGTGGCGTTCCCGCGTTTCATGGTGGCACCTGGGCAAAGACATCGTCTTAATTATGTACTTGGAAGACAGTACATACTCCCTGGAGTGATCGCAGCTCAGAATCTCCGGAAGAGAGAGCGTCCCTTCTATGTTTTCAGGCCCGTGACCATGTTCTTGCGCGGCTCTTCGGTCAGTCCACGTTTCTTTCCGCCATTCCGCCGAAGTCCCGCAGAAGATGAACAGCATCTCTGTTGAAAAGGATGCCCATAACTTCGATAATGTGCACGGAGACGCAAGAAGAGTCCACCAACAGTCCAAGGGCGACAGGGAGGCCTGCACCAGCTGGCGAACCAGGGCCCAGAGAGGCGTTTGCGGCTGGACAGTGGCTGCAAGCCCGTCACACATTGCCAACCCCCCAAGCCTCCACTCAACGGCTGATCGCCGCCTTTCATCAGTCACGCCCATCGTGGCCCGCCGTGAGACAGTCGGTAGACGGTCGTCGTGGAGGGCCGAGGGGCGTGTCGAGTCTCCACAAGATTCAGAGCCATGCCCAAATGTCACATACGGTGAGATCCCTTCTTCGACATGCCAATTCACCAGATCTTATTGTGAGGATACTCCGATTCTCGAATCCGTCGGCAAGGGTGCCGTCATTCACAGTACTGTATAACGAGCTTCGTACGGAGTACTAGTTCTCAGCACACAGCCGGGAGAACGTTATGTTATCCACCATAAGCCCCGGTACATTAGTCCCCAGTTCCCTGTCCCACTATCTGCCAACGTTAGCATGCGGTCCTGCGATATCATTCCAAATAGGAGGACATCTGATTAGCCGAATCCCATGGTGGAGAGAGGAACGACCATCGATCCGAGAAGCAATTCGTTACGGGAACTTCCAGATACCAGGTGCATGGCCGGGAGCCCTAGGGAGGGTGAAACTGCCTACCATGAAGTAGGATTGGACTGGAATAGTGTAACCTTCATCGCATGTGATGGAGGTTCTTGTTCGGACCGTGAGATTAGGGTCTAGATCGTCGCTGCAGCGTCGTTGAGGGCGGATCAGCTCTATGGTTGCTCTGAGGTTGTCCCAGCAATGATGGAAACATGTGAGCCCGAAGAAGGTTCCGGTTGGTTCATAAGTACCTAGGTAGTAACTAGGTACATAACCATGACGACAAGTGCCTCGTCATCCCAAGTACTACAGTATAAGATGGAGGCAGGAGATTGTTCGCAAGAATTACCATTGACGTGCTAAGTATGTAGACCAAAGATGATGGACCACTGAATCCACACCCAGAGGCTAGGAAACCGCGGTGAGTAAGAGGTCGTCGATCTTCTTTACACCAAAATAGGGCCTACCATAGGGAGTGAAGTAAAGCCCAGAGTGTTGGTAAAGTTGAAGTAGCTACACGCCGACACTTTCGGCAAAAACTATCGAGGGACGTCTAAGATAGTTGAAAAGTGCAAATAATGGTACAGAGCTGCATCAGCTGCCATCCGAGCTCGGTGATCCCATATACAACCTCGAATCCAGGAGTGAACATCAATCAGCCCTCGACGTCAGCAATGGGTGAGATAAGCATCGGGCGTTCTATCCGGAACTGTTAACTGTTTGCGTTTCACAGCATGAGCTGCGATATTGACGAGAGCCTGGTTCGAACAACAAGCCACAACTAGTTAGCTGGAACGGAGCATTCAATACCCAAGTGGAAAAATGCTTTGACGATGGAGCGTTGGCAAAGCGGTGGGAGTGGCCTTGTGAATATGTCAACTCATTTATCGAGGTTGACGGTCCATTCTGTGGAGAGGATGGTTGCCATGCAGAGTCAGAAGAATAAGAGGGAAATGAGGTGCCAGGTCAAAGTTGATGCAGGATAGAGAATTTCATGGGGGTGAAGATTCAAAAGGTCGAAAAGGAGTTTATGTGTTCGAGCTAGCGTCGGATTCGGATTAACTGCCCTCCGGAAACCGGGGTATGAATGTCGATGTGGCATCATGGGAGTCTTTCAAATAAAAGTAACGTCTCCAATCCGCCCTCACACACGTTTTTACCGAAGCGCAACAACCACTTTCACTAGCAAAGCAGAAGCTCTTCTTTTTTTTTTTGGCCGTGAATCTTCCACCGTACCATTGCGACAATAGCTGTCAACCCCAACCATGGAATCCTCACAGGGCGAAGACCCGCAAGGCTCACCGTTCCCAGAATTCCGTGCTCCTCCAGGACACCCACAACCGACGCCTGAGCAGATTCAAATGATGCAGCGCCAGATAGCAGCGGAAGCGGAAAAACGCGGTCTTACCGTACCGCAATACATTGAGGAGCTCAAACAACAAGCCATGGCACAACATCAGGAGCAACTACGGCAACAGCAGATGCAACAACAGCAACAAGGTCAACAACAGGGTGGAGGCCAGGCACAGCCCATTCAGCCTGGACCTCCAAAACCAGAGGCTCTTGCAATGGCGAACTTTCTCAAGGGACAAGAGTTGAAGCACCGAACGGTGATTCTTGACGAAAAGAGGAAGGAGATGTTCAGAGGTTGGCTCACCTTCTCCTTCCATAGCTTCATGCGATTAACCCTTCTCACCAGTCAAGCGTGCCATCCGCGCCCTCCAGTCCCCTGCCTACGCGAAAGCCCGCGCCAAAAACCCTCTTCTCCCAGAAGTCAACGACCGCGCCTCCGCCGAAAACGCCTTCAAACTCCTCCCGCTCTCTCTTCTCGCCCTTCGCGTCTCAAAAATCGATCCGGCCGACGCCCACGCAGGTCACAACCACGCTCCTCCGTCGAAGACCAAACGGGTCAAGGGCCTCTGGACAGTCCGCATCGAGCAGCACCAGGACGCCGAGGACGATTCCTACTACGTATGGCTATACGAAGGCGCGCAATGGAAGCAGAAGTTGTATGCTGCCGGGGCTCTGCTGCTCGTCATTGCCGTCGTGCTCTTCCCCCTCTGGCCTCTCATGCTGAGACAGGGAGTGTGGTATCTCAGTATGGGCATGCTGGGACTCATCGGCTTATTCTTCCTCATGGCGATCTTCAGGCTTATCCTTTTCATTATCACGATGTTTGCGGCGCCGCCTGGCTTGTGGTTGTATCCTAATCTATTCGAGGACGTGGGCTTCTTCGATAGTTTCAGGCCTGTCTGGGCATGGCAGGAGGTACGTTTCTTATTCAACCCCTTTCTCACATTTTTCTCGTCCTCGTAGTTCACATCCCCATCCTCACCGCCCTTTTTCTGGATATCTCATGTCAGTTCGAACCCAACTAATGCGCACCCCGAACAGACAGCCGAAGACATCAAAGCCAAGAAGCGCGCCAAAAAAGAGAAGAAGGCCGCCAAAGCCGCCGCAAAAGCCGAGGCCGCCGCTAAAGGCATTCCCTACAAATCGGTGAAGAAGAACGCTATGACGGGCGCTGCAGCCTCGGCGGGAGCTACGGATACTGCGTCTACGACTACACAAGCAGCACCCACACCCGCACCAGTGGACTCGGCACCCAGGGCTACGGGAGCGAACGTAGAAAGCGGAGCGAGTGCAGGGCAAGGGGGAGAAGGTGTGACGCATCGACAGCGACAAGCGATGGTCGAGGAGGCGGAGGAGGAGTAGGCCCTTTTCTCCATCATGTCCTACGCGTTCCCTTTCTCTTTGATTACGCTTTCAACATTCTCATTCCTGTCAACCCACCGGATCCTGGCTCAGGTGGACAAGCTTACAGCATCCTTCCGCCGCGTCCCTATCCCCGGCTCATCGATTTGCAACGTGGTATCGCCGCGACGACCTTAACCGCGCTCTCGACCACATCCGGCGTCAGTTGTTACTCATATCGGCCGTCGTCATCATCTACTGTGTCCTAGATCGGCCCTGCGGTGTACCTGCGGCGGGCAACTGGGTAATCAAACACACATGTGGTGGAAGAGTGCGACGCGGACGTTGCGCGAGGGGTGCGTAGGGGATTGGAAGTGTATTGCGTGGTTTATGTTGGCCGTGATCCTGGCGCTGCAAGAGTACTCTGGTATTTAGGTAGAGAGATGTGCGGACCCAAAGGGCCGGACGCCGCTGTGCTAGTAAATCGATTCCCCATTCCTCATTTCTTTTACGCATTCAAGCATGTTTTTACATTTGTTCTTCGTTGCTGCCGATCCAAACGAAACGGCCAGTTCGAGCGCTTCGTACGTCGGGCTTTACACTGGTAGCCCGACAAACAAACTGGCTGACGCATCTGACCCTCAGCCCAATGCGCCTTACGAAGATTCCTTGATCCTTGACATGTTGACATCGGTCCGACTGAACGCCTATCCCGTTGAATCCACGTGCACCCATTCCAGCAGATCAGATCCAAACGCCGCGAATCGCCCGATGCTATAACACTATAAGAGAGAAGTCCGCTCGCACATGCATTCATTCATTCATCCGCTCATCCACTCATTCATTCATTCAAACAATCAACCGTGCTTTTTCGACGCTTGCGCTGAACCATCAATCACGAAATCAGTCATTGTTTCCTCGCCTGGCCCTAGCTCGGCCCCTCGCCCACCGGCTCTTCCACCCTCACGGGACGCCTCGATATCGTGGACGGACTGCCGCCATGTAAACTGCTTCTCCGGACGGGCGAGTGCGTGATAGACGACGTGGGGTTGAGCTCGGACAGTTGCCTCTCTACACAACAATATCCGCATTAGCCATCGCTCCATACGCAAACGTTATACGAAGTTATCGAAAACATACCCAACTCCCGGATCCTCAACTTGAGCATCTGGTTCTCCCTGATCAGATTCTGCGTCTCGGCCTGGTAGAAGGCGCTCTCGTCTCTTTGGGCCGACATGCCCGTGCCTTGTAACCACTCGGTGCTGCTGTCGTGGATGCTGCTGGGGGGGATGGGGATGGGTCTCAGGGCGGGGGAGCCAGCGCGGCTGTTTGTGCGAGAACGATCGGCGATGGAGGAAGTGCGGCTGAGGGGCGTGCCGCCGCGGTTGAAGGGGGAGCGGGAGCGTGGCGTTGGTTGTTGTTGTTGGAGTTGCTGGACGGGGGCAGGTTGAGTAGAGGCGTGGGGGAGGGAGACGGAGCGTTCCGAGGTGGGTGTGCTGTCGTCGATGGCGGAGGATTGGGATTGGGGTTGTTGGGAAGCCTGGAGGGCGGAGATTTGGGCTTGTTGTTGGCGGATCATGTGGAGGAGGCGGTTCTGGTTTCAACCGTTTTGTCAGCTACATATGCTAGTACTGGCGGGAATGTAGTGGCGCGTATATACCACTTGGCCCTCCTGCTCGTACTCGAGCTCCTGGTGTAACTCTCCCAGGCTAGGCGCACGCTCGTGGTGAGGACTGTGTGGCCAGGCGCCGCGGGTGCGCAACGAGGGACTGATCTGCATTTCGCCAGGAGCAGGGATGGATGGGTCATTCAGGTTGAGGTTCATGCGGATGCTGGAGCGTCGGCGCGCATGCTCGACGTCTCTGCGCATCGAGGTGCCGCCTGAGGAGCGCCTCGACTCTTCGGTCTGGATGCCTGCGTTGAGAGCTGCCGCTGCGGCGAGCGAGTGTGGGGGAGTGTGTGAGATGGGAGGGGACTGAGAAAGGGTGCGCGGGGAGTCGGAAGACGATACAGCGGCCATTCTGGAGTGAAGGAGGGGTGATGCTGATGCTGAGGGTGACGGTGAGGGAGGGAGGGAGTTTAGGTCGGGTGGCATATTGGAGGTCGGGGAGCTCGGGGCGCAGTGGTAGTAATGGCGAAAAGATGGAATGAATGACGCAGGGTTCGCAGAGGGATGGTTCGAGGTCTGGCGCCACAGGTGGTGAGAGGCGAAATGGACCGAGACGTGTCCAGGGAATGGGAGAGGTTGAAAGAGCTTCGTGACCTGTTGTCTGTGGATGGAGGGGCCACCTGGGCAACCTTGGAAAGGTGGGGAGACTGTCACGTTGACGCTTTGTCGTTGCGGTTAGAGGAAATGCCAAGAACATGCAGGAACCTCCAGGTGGCGAGGGTCCATCTCATCTTACTCATCTTATCACCAACAAAAAAACGAATAATAAAAGAAACAGCCTTTGGGGACGCTCAAAGCAGCGACCCGTTCCATTCCGTATTCCGCTCTTCATACTCTAAGCAGGTGACAATTATTGGAGCCGCTCACGTGGACGACAGACAATCCATGGGATTGCCAGAGGAGGTGCTGTGCATCCTGCACGCACGGCACATCGCAAAGCCATCTCATTTATCGACGGCTCGGTACCAATGTTGAAAGTCGACGACGACGCGGCGTGACGCGACGAGACGCGACGCACTATACCTTCTGAGGTGCATCAGACGTGATGAGTCCTCCAGCTGCAGGAACCACCAGCAACCACCAGCATGGCTCTCATGCAGTGCTTTTCCTTTCATTTCCCTCTGAAGATGCTGCTTAGCAAAGGAGAAAGGAATTCCCGGACCGGTCACCCCGTTCATGTGGATCGCAATGCCCAAGGTTCCGGACAGTGGTACGGAGTATTCACTCGCAAACCCCATCACACTCACTGGGTTATAACAGAGCTGCGCCATACGCCAACATGCCAGGACGGCCGTCGGTAATTGTTGGTGAGCCAAAGTCGTGAAAGCGGATGCTGAACCTGGACCGCGGTGCAGCTGGGTGGCCGGTCGTGTAATACATAAGTACGTTCAGGATCCTTTGTACCTCTGTACGAACCCAAACCAGCTCTGTTGTGTCTCCATCCCAAACCATGGTCAACTTTCAGAACCGCCATGAGGGGATAGTCTGATAACCTTTCGCTCCTCGCGTGTTTCGGATTATTGGGTCCGGCGCCTGAGGTTGGTCGCCCCTGCTGCGGCCCACCGTTTTTAGCCTGGGGTGAATAGGGGTATCAGGGGCCTCACTTTGCCCCTAGCGACCGCAGGCGAAGCCTCCCCCTGGTGCACTGCGGGACCCAGCAAGACCATCCAGGGACGGCTCATCAACGCTCCTCCGTGTCGCTCCGTCCAGCAGTTGACGTTTCTGCACCCGTTTTATCAGTCCTTTTCCTTCCTTCTCACTTCCATTTCTGCAGTGAATACCCCTCCTCCAAGGACACAAGTCCCTTACGCTCGTTTGACATTGGATTCTGCCTCACATATCCTTCTCGCGCCCTCCATTCGTTTGACTCGCAGAGCCTGCACCCCTCGGATCCTGTGAATTGAGCCTACTGTGGAAAAATTCCAGTCTCCTCATTTGCGCTGTCAAAGCTTCAACAAGTTCCTCAGTCTTCTCTAAATATTCCTTCTCGAATCTATTACCCGGCTTCTAGCGCCTCGTTCCTTGCCAATCCACCCATTAAAATCCAGTCGTATGACGTTGCAACCAATCTGTGTGTCCACGACGACCAGACCCCAGGTATAACTCCAGCCGCACGTATTACAACACGGCACCGCCTTCCACGAGGACCATCCCCCTCATCCATCTCGCCTTGCTCCTCTGGCAGTTGGCGCCTGTTAATGCATCCGGATACCTCTCGAGCCACCGTGTCTGGCTCCTGCTGCCATGGCGACCCTAGGCGGCAATCTTCGCAATCCTCCTAATGACACATCAACAACTTCACGATGGCGCCGGAATCGTTCCAGCGTCAACCTGCTCGATCAGGTCGCGTCAGCTACTCCCGCTACTTCAGGCCCCTCGTCGAGTAAACCCGAACCAAAGATCGAGCGTGCAACCTCCAAAATGTCTCTCTTCAATCTCTTCAGCCGACCCAAGGTCGAGAAAGCACGGGGGCATACAGAAGTTGGCCTCGCAGTTCCAATGCCACCTCCACAGCCACCTCCGAAACCAGCACCCACGTCCACTCCAAAATCGTCGTTAAGACTGAACCCGCCATCTGCAGCTCAACAGCCGCATCGATCGCGCTCGAGCCAGATGCTTCGGCCAATGTCCTTCCGAACTCCCAGCGTAAGGCAGGAATCTTCTAGCTGGGACCCTCCACCTCTGTTCCAGGCCTATCCGCAGTCCATCAAACATGCCACTGTGCAAGCATGTGTCTTTTCGCCGGATGCTTTGCTGAGGACGCAGAGCCACAGATTGCAGTATGACCTGATTCGTGAACGAATGGACAGCCATGGGGACCTATCTGCGACGTTGGAGCATGGTGCAAATAAAAAGCTGGAAAAGAGCCACAAACGCCTCATCTCCAACTCGGTCATGAGCCCCTCCGCACCACAGCTGACAAATAAGGTCTATGTGCTGGACACTTTGGGACATGTCTTGCAATACTCAGGCGAGGGCTCATTTGACCGACTTCCTGAAAAGGTCCTGCAACTGGGTAAGGAATCCGCGGCTTTCGCATGCGATTTGATTCCTGGGAAGCACTTTGTCCTCCAGATCTCCCAAAGTGCGAAAGAAGATGGAACGGTCGCTCTTGCCCCAAAGAGCTCCCTTCTTTCACGATTCCGGTCGCAACCTTCCTCTCTTAAGCGATCGGCAACAAGTTTCCTGCTGGTGCTGGATAGTGCGGATGAGATGAAGGCGTGGATGACAGCAGTGCGAAAAGAAATAGAAAACATGGGCGGAATGAAGGTGGCGGAGGACACTACTCGCGAATCTTCATCCATGGAAGTGTCGTCCGGAAAGAATTCGCAGGAGAGTGCGGTTCCGAGCCATCGATATCAGGTCCGGCGCGACCCGAACCGCATGAGCAAGATTAGCCCAGTAGATTCGCCTTTACAGTCCCAGTATTCCGGCTCCCCCAAGGTCGTCGGAGCGGAGTGGGAAGGAGATGGAAGTGAGAAGACATTCAGCGTTTCCGACACTGCCAGCGTGCAGTCATCCGGGAAAAGATCTATTGAAGTCCCATCAATAACGAGGACCTCTGGCTCGAACCCAGAACACTTGCGTGACAGGTCACGGCTTTCCTACGTCTCTACCAACACTTCAGTGTCGGGGCCACCTACAAGGCACACCTCCAGAGACTCTTCGCCTGCACAGTCTCCGTTGAGAGAAGGTTTCTCACTAACAGATACCGAGCCAATCCGAAGCGCAATGTCCCTGAGGTCGTTTCATATGAACCCCAGCAACAGCGCGACGTATCGACGGCGTTCCATGCAGCCACTACCTACAACAAATGAGGACACCTCTCTCTCCGCTGATTCACCCGTAATCTCACCACAGCGGCATTCTTTCTATGGTCCGATCTCCCCAACAACAAGCAAAACGGATCAAAAGACGGTAGTTCCAGCAATCACTTCGGGTTCTAATCCTGCCCCTACTTCAGCATCTGCGCCTTCCCCTGCGCCTTCGTCGAACTCACAGCTCGCGCCACTATTGTGTCAACCCTCTAGAAGCTCAATATACGGGTCTCAAGGGCCAGTCAGGTATGGCACGAGAAGTTCAAGTGCGCCACCAGCTCGTCACGGGGTTATCTCACCACCGCCACGAGATCCTGCACCGCCTCCAGGCCGCCGCCCTTTGTCCACTGTCGACAACCTCAACACTACAAGCGCTGCAGCTCACCGAATGTCGCAAGGACCCAAGCCATTCGTTAGGCCGTTTCCAGTGCGGCCGCAGCAGCAGCACGCAGATGGAAACCTTGTCCTACCTCGCCGCGTGTCATCTTTCGGTCCACCTCCAATTGCTCTTGGAATTGCCGTAAACCGCTCAGTAACCGCTCCTGTGAGGCCATCCGCAACTACCACATCTCCCACCGGGTCGTCGGATCCTCGAAGAACCTCAAGTTCATCGCAACCACTTCGCCGTCCAACCAGCGTGCAGATCCGCTCCGATCCAGCACCCTTTCTCTCCTCATCGCGAACCAACAACGGTCCCGTCCGTGCCATATCGAGTACCCCTTCGTTCGTCCCCAGTAAACGAGCGTCAACTATAGCGCCCAATGTGCAACGCAGCCCGTCAAATCCTGCTCTGCGCGAACAGTCGCAGTCGCAGCAGCGACTTAGTGTGGTACCTCGCCGTTCGATGCCAGCCATGGGATTGCCACCTCCGGCTCCACCACCGAATATGCCATTGCCTCCGCCGCCGCCTATGGCGAATGCATCGGCCGTTGTTGTTTGAGTCTTTCCCTCTAAACGGCTTCCTTCCCTTATCTCGCATGCCCTGTCCGTGTCGGACTTGGATACAGAAACTGTTCTATTGTTCCTCTGGCGTCAGGGCGCCCACGTTACAGCATGGAAAATTAAATGGAAATTAACTCCTCGAAGCTTCTGACTTCCGAAACCTTTCAATCAGTTCAGATTTCTCAATGGAAACATGGAGACTTCAATGACGTTACGGCCTACACTCTTTCCTTCTGCTTTTACCCTTCGTCATGCCAGGCTCTCATTGCGATTGCGCTATTTACCGTCTTGCTTCTGGTCACATGTTGTTCGAAATATCTTCTTCTCCAATGATATCCCCCACCTGGCTTTCTGTACTCATGTAGTATTACTATCTTTGTTGCCATGAATTAGCTGTTGTCTTTGGGGTTGTAGGATGGCTACATGGTGTATTCTAAACCTAGGGTTGTTTGGTTGGTTGCCACCCGCTTGGTGTAGTGTATCAGCAACAGAGCGGAGAGGCTCGGGGTGCAATGGATCTTGCGTTTTGCATTACATTGCTTTGGAAAGTGAAGTTGCTACGGTTACTGTGCGTGATGGGTCTTGGTTCAATAGCTGTTTCATCACCGATCATCCCCAAGAGGACTTTACAACCCAACCTTCGAGGTCTGTTCAATCCCCAACCTACTTTAGGGAACTAACAGGATTCTCGATTCAGCGGATCATTTCTATGCTACCGTAGCGGAACCACGAGCCCTATCTTCCCCTCTCATACTACCCCTAACTCAAAGATGAAGAATACGAAGGGAGCAAAACTCTAGACGTCTCCAACAAACGCGGACTACCTGCTGATGTATCCCTCAATTCTTCCTCTGCTGCACGAGACCTTGTTTTATAGGTATCTCACTACTACCTTTTGCACGATTCCTTGACGCTTCCGGCACTGACAAACTGCCTCGGGCTCACGGCAGGAGGTACGCTGTGCGCTTCTCCAAGCACTGCTGTCTCTCACCCCACGGCCGTGGGGTACTCAAGGGTCTAACCAACCTCCTAATATCATCCTCTTCCTTGACGCTCAAATGCATCACGGGATCTCGTCAGTGATGAACAACAGAGTGGCACAGGCGACATGAGACCATGCCGCGCACGTGGTTGCGGCGCTGAATTGATACCCTATCTGCATCCATTGGTGACTCTACTCCCCTCCAGCGTACGCATTGGCCGGACATGCCGTCCGAAGCCGCAACGAACATGCGCAGCGAGGAAACCGGTGAGGACGCCGTGACGTACCGGTCCGAGGCCGTGGACGGCAAAGATGTCGAGGCCTTCGTCAAATGGGTATCGTATCAGGTGCTACTTGGTCAGTTACCAGCCACATCCTTTGTGTGTTGGACTCCCGGGAACCGAATACACATGTGTAATCGCCGACCCCGAGGACCTGGACTTGATACCTCGTGCAAGCTTACACAGAAGTAGAACGACACAGCGATCTTGGAAGCTTGGAACACACCCCGCACCTGCATCAGACATGCTGCCCAATCTTTTCCACGGACCTGGTACAGTCGGAGGTGTTCGTTCTATGCCGTATCTCTCCATCTCTATCCCGCTTCACAGCTACGCAGTACGCGCTCCCAACACCTCCGCATCCCCGTCGACAACGTCTCGCCCTGCACATCCTGCGTATCAACCCATTTCCTTGCCGGCGGGCTTGGAAACATGAAATCCCAATCCGGATCCAGTGCGTCGTCCACGGACAGCGTGAAGCGATGTATATGCATGGTAAGTCGGAGGTGGCTGAAGACGTGGACGAGGGAGCCGAGGGATTCGACGTGTTTCGCCTTGCTGAGGGAGAAGCCCGTTCTTTCGAGGCTGGATAGAAAGGCGTGTGCTGTGGATTTGTGGGAGGAGGGTGCGGGTGGGATGTTGTCGGTTTGCGGGAGTGTGAGGAGAGGGAATTGCCAGAGGGAGGCGAGTAGGCCTAATGGTAAAACTGGGTTAGCTAGACTGGACTTTTGCGTTTGGTAGATGAAGGGACACGGACGGAGTGGTATCCGGCTGCTCCCATTTGTCTCACGAGTCGCAGAACGGGTTCTTGGGGCTGAAGAGATAAACAGGCATCTCACCTTTCGCTGGCCTCTGCTCGATCAGCCATTTGCTGCTCTTCTGCCCGGCAAATCGCAGCTCTACCATGCAGACCAAGCACGCCTCTTCGGGGACTTTGTTCTTGGGTGACTTCTTGGGGAATAGTGAACAGTACGTGGCGATGCGTTTTAGTTTTACTGTGTTGGATATATCTTGGATTTTGCGTTTCTTGCTGTCTTCGATGATGGTATTCCCAGATTGCGTAGTGTCTTCCCGACGATTAGTTGTGGAAGATGCGGTCTTCTTGCTGGTTTGCGACATAGGTGTGAAGTAGCTCGATATTCTTCCCGTGCTTTTGACGTCCCGTTTACGCCTCTTGGTAGCTTTGCCGTCTGTGTTTGTTTCTTTGTCGTCTGTTTCCGGTGCGAGGAGTAGGTCTTCTATGTCCAAGACCTCACAAATCCCACAACCGTCTTCTTCGTCAGTGACAATCGTTTCAGACGCGGTTTTCCCCTCGGCCAACATCTCGCCCTCCATGTACGCCCTACATGTCCTCCTCACAGGACACATCTCGCACTTTGGCGCTCGCGGCGTACACACCGTCGCGCCGAGCTCCATGACGGCCTGATTCCACAAGCCCGGTATCGCACTCGGGGAGCTTGTTTCACCAGCTACATGCTCAATCAGACGTTGCGCTGCTTCCCAAATGAGGTCCAGAGACTTTTTGTCTTTGCCGTCGACATAGAGTCCTAGCTGACGAGTCAGAACACGTACTACGTTGCCGTCGACTACAGGCTCCGGGTATCCGAAGGCGATGCTGGATATGGCGCCGGCAGTGTAGCGACCTATACCGGGGAACTTCATCAGGGCTCCGACTGTAAATGGAATTGGTCCTCGCAAGTCCTCATCATTCGCATCCCAATCATCATCATCATCATCACCCCCCTCATTCTTCCTCTTTCCCCCCTCAACCTTCTTCTTCTTCTCCTCCCACGCCGCCAGCATCCCCTTCGCAGCCTCCAACAACCTCCTCGCCCGCCCATAATACCCCAATCCCTTCCAGACACTCAGCACCTCCTCTTCTTTCACGGCCGCGAGATCAAACACCGTCGGCCACTTCGCCATCCATTTCTCGAAATAGGGGATCGCGGCCGCTACGCGCGTTTGCTGGAGCATGGTTTCTGAGATCCAGATTGCGTAGGCGCGGGTACTTGGATCTTCCGACTGGGCATTGAGTGGATTGGCTTTGCTGATAGGGATATCATGCGTTGGGTATTTCGACGAGGTCGTTGTTATGCCTCTGTGAGCGGAAGGATCGACCCATTCTTTCCGCCATGGCATTCCTCTCGAGTGTTTTACGCCGTCGAACCAGGTGAGGAGGGCGTCGCATGCTGCCTTGTCGTTTAAGAGAAGAGGCTCGTGGTAGGATTGTGGGTGTTTCCGAGAAGGGGGGATGGCGGTTGGAACTGGGCTCAGGATTGATGGTGGAAGGGTATGGTTATATGGTTTCCCTGGAGATGGAGCTGAGGTGCTGGTCTTGGAAGTGCTTTTGGATTTACGCGTTGGAGGGACGCGTGTGGGCATTGTATGGGGCGTGGGGGGTAGGATGGGGAGGCAAAGCTGAGGACTGTGCTGATGGGAAAAGTACGCTAGGCTGATTTCGGCATGGCGGAAGAACCTTGGAATGATACCACACGCCTAGCTGGATGTTCTCCATGTCTACGGAGTAGTTGCGAGCAATGTATGCCCTTTGTAAAACCGAATAATCTACGATCCATAGCCATGGACCTGTTTCGGTCTATGTTATACTGTGCGCATAGCCCACTTTGATGTCACATGACCATCCATGGATGGAGCTGCTGCTAACTCCGGACGCCCTGCATACCAGTAGAGTGGTCGCAGTTTCATTCATCGCCGCAGTTTTTAATGGAGCAGGATGATGGGGAGCTGTTTATTCGCACCGTGTTCGTAGTAGTGTGTCATCCACTCCCATAACCACAAAACCAATCTTTCGACTTGAGGTTCCAAGCTTGCTTGCTGCAACAACACCAACAACAACAACAACAACAAGCTGTCTTTGATAATTCAATCAAAATTCACGGTTTCCAAGTTCAAACGGGGACGGCAAGTTCCCACCCGCCAACCTCACCATACAGAGTAAGTAAAAGCCCCAAAAGCTTGTTATGGTAAGCACTCCTCGCATTACACTAACGCCCGCTCACTCCCGCCTTGGCGTACGTCAGTCACCACTCATATGCAACCAACCCAGCCGCCGACTATCAAGAGGTGCAGACCGGTTTGTTTTGAGAACGCCAGAAACACCGTCCATTACGAGTCCCGCCTCACTTGTCTGGAGCTCCAATCTTAACCTTATAAGCTCCGCGGAGACCATCTTCTTCTACACACAGCCACAACCTTCAAACTATTGTCTGACATCGCACAAGCCATCGAATCAGCATGGCCGACGCTCCGGGGGAGAATGCGGAAGCGCATCACCACGGGCTAAAGGACAAGATTGCACACCCGTTTCCCCACTTGCGCGAGAAGCTTCACCACCACGACCGCACGGAGCCAGAAGACCAACACCACCCGCACCCGGAAAATGGCCATCCTATAGCAGCCAAGGTAGTCCACACGAAGCAGAAGATTGGCAAGTTGGCGAACCTCTTCAACAAGCACCATCGGCATGATGAGGCGCATGAGAAGGCTGTCGATGAGCAGAGGAAGAAAATTGCCGAGGGGCACAGGTTTGGGAGCTTTGCACCTGAGAGGGAGGGGAATTTGATCAAGTGGTATGTGGATGGGAGAGACTATTTCTGGGTAAGAGAAGATTTGAGTCCCGTGACCGGGGAGTGGATCACTAATGGGAAACCAGGCGGTTTCTGTGGCGTTGGAGAGGGCAAAGGAGACGATTTATATCGAGGATTGGTGGCTGTCGCCGGAGCTGGTACGTAAAATTGTCAATCGGTTTGGTGAGGTACTGATGGCAACAGTATCTCCGACGACCCCCTTTCTATAATCAGGAGTGGAGGTTAGACACCATTATCAAGAGAAAGGCCGAACAAGGTGTCAAGATATACATCATCGTGTACAAGGAGGTAAGCGAAGTCTTGCACGAGACGACATTTGAGTGCACTGACCAATAGATCGTAGGTTAAAGCGGCACTTACATGCAACAGCGAGCACACCAAACGAGTTATGATGCATGACCTTATCCCGGAGGGCCAAAAGGGACATGGTAATATCAGACTCATGAGACATCCCGACCACGATGTCTTCGAAAACTTCGCGGATATGACTTTTTACTGGGTAACTGTGCATGCCTCACATGATGAACTCCCGCTAACAACGTTTAGGCACACCATGAGAAGTTCATTGTCATTGATTACGAGGTTGCTTTCATCGGTGGTCTTGATCTGTGTTACGGACGATGGGGTCAGTCCACCAGAAAACCTTGCTCTCCCCCTCTCCTGACAGGACAACAGACTTGAAGCAGCACCCCTGCGCAGATGTCCACCCATTAGGTGTACAGTACGAAATCTTCCCAGGCCAGGACTACAATAACAACCGCATCCTAGACTTCCAGAATGTCCAGGACTGGAAACAGAACCAGTTGAGCAAGGTAGAGTATGGGCGCATGCCATGGCACGACGTCGCCATGGGTGTCATCGGCCCATGTGTATACGACATTGCCGAGCACTTCGTCCTCCGCTGGAACTTCTGCAAACGCGACAAGTACAAGCGCGACCCGCGATACACCTGGCTAACGCTCGAGGGCCGCGAGGGCGACGATGAAGGTCTCGTTGGTGTCCAGAGGCCGAAGTTCCCTGTCGGAGGCTATGAACATCATCCTTTGAGCAAATTGAGTACGAAGAATCTTGACAACCGGGGCACCGTGCATGCGCAGATTCTGCGGAGTAGTGCGGATTGGAGTAGTGGGATTGACCCCGAGGAGACCAGTATCCAGACCGCTTATTGCGAGCTGATACGGAAGGCACAGCATTTCGTCTACATTGAAAATCAGTTCTTCATATCGGGTAAGTCGTGCAGACGAATTTATTGGAGGACTGAACTGACTATGGCCAGCAACTGGCGAACATCAGGACCCGATCCATAATCGCATTGCTGAGGCTATCGTCGACGCCATAGTCCGGGCTGCGAAGGAGCAAAGGAAGTTTAGGGTTATCGTCCTTATCCCAGCTATTCCCGGCTTTGCGGGGGATCTGCGAGAGAATGCAGCGCTCGGGACGAGAGCGATTATGGACTACCAGTACAAGACCATCTGCAGAGGCCCGCACAGCATTTTTGGTAAACTCGACGCCGAGGGGATTGATCCGCACAAATACATTTTCTTCTTCAATCTTCGATCATACGACAGGATCAACGCAAATCGCCAGTTGAGAGAGAATGAGAAGCGATCAGGGATGAAGTACGAACAGCTGCAAAGCGCTGAAGAGGACGAGCTTAGCGCGCCCACAGAAAAGAACGAGAAGGAAAGGGCCACAGCCGCAAAAATGAGGGAGCAGTTCTTCCCCGACAACAAAGAATCCGTCGGAAAAGGGGATCAGGGCGGTATCATTGACCCGGACTCCATCGCCGACGACGCCATGCTCACCGACAAGAAACCGAGCACCGAGGAATGGGACGGCGACCCGCAAGACGAGAAGGACCACTTCTTCCAAGAAGAACTCTACATCCACGCCAAAGTCTGCATCATCGACGACAAATATGTGATATGCGGCAGCGCAAACATCAACGATCGCTCCCAAATCGGGTACCACGACTCCGAACTCGCCATCGTCATGGAGGACACGGATAAGGTCGAAACGCTCATGGACGGCAAACCGTACCAAGCGGGGCGTCACGCTTACACACTGCGCAGCATGCTCTGGCGGGAGCATCTCGGTCTGCTGCCCCCTCAGGCGCTCGATGCCAGCGACGATCCCAACGCGCAACCGCCCGGCGACAGTACGAACGACGCCATGGAAGGCCCGGAAATGGAGTTCGTCAAAGACCCCCTCTCCGACGACCTGTGGGCCGACTGGACGAGCAAAGCCAGCACCAACACGTCCGTCTACCGGGAGCTCTTCCACGTGGACCCGGACGACGACATTTTGACGTTTGAGGACTACGATTCGTTTACGCCGAATGCCAAGACGGATAAGGAGCATAAGCAGGGGCATCTGTATGTGAAGGATATGAGCGCCGAGGAGATGCGGAAGCAGTTGGATCGGATCAGGGGCCATTTGGTGTGGATGCCGCTGAGGTTTTTGGAGAGGGAGGAGATGGCGGAGAAGGGGCTGAATTTGCAGTTTAATGCTTGGACGGAGTCGATTTATACGTAATGGGAGGGGTAGGTGGGGAAAGGGAGGATGGGGGAGAGGTGGTCGTGGAGATGGAGATGGTGGCACGTATGGTTGTGGGGAGGAGGCGGAGTTGTGGTATTCTTTTCGGCTCTTTTGTTAACTTGCAATCTCTTATTTGGGGAACTGTTCGAGGGCGTTGAAGCTCTGGCATGGGCTTGGTTTCTCGCTTGGAGGAGTCGGCGGGTACTGGTATCTTGGAAGCTCTTTACTCTATAGCTGGTTTAGTTACGAATAATTTCCTAAGTCGAGGTTCAACTACCGAGCTGTGTCTGCTTTGCACTGTAGTTATTACTTGCCCTTGTGATAACTCATCATATGTAATACAGACTTTCGACGCAGGTATACGAAGCTATGTAGTTTTCCCATAGAGTTGGCCATACAAACAGGAGACAATCGCGAAAAAGAGGCCGGGAGGACGCGTGCATTGCTTGATAGGGATGGGAGGTGCGGTATTCACCTTTGAAGTTTCCTTATTTTGCTTTCCGTATACCTGGTTATGTTATTAGCACCCTAGCAGTTGTTGGAATGGTACTTATTGCCATTGGTTATTGCGGCACGGTCTTAGTCTTTTTTCGTTATTGTGGACGTTGCATAAGGAAGTTTCTTCCGTCGATCTGTGCAGTGTGTGCAGTGTAAGCGTGTGTGCCTCAAAGCACGTGGCTGTGTGTACAAGTGCCGAGGTAGAAGACTTAGAAAAGATCCAGGGTGCGGGATATGTACCATAGACGTTGTTTTTGTTTAGGTATAGATCTCGTGTTCTCTAACTTGTGTATGCCATCTGCAAGTTTTCAAACAACGACTTTCATCAAAGAATTACCTTGTTTTTAGGAAGTTCCGGTTTTCCGGGACCTTTTCTATATCATTCCGTCGTGGCTGGTATTATAGTATTACGGTGGTTATAAGTTTGTTGGTCTTGACATTAATGTTTTTTAAGTAGATTATTTTGGTTAAGGTGCGAGAGGAAAACGTAATATGCGGATCGAATAGATCATATATGAGCGTTTCTCGCATCCACCACGGCGTCGATAAAGCATATATGTCGGAAGTGGAAAAGGGACACAAGAATAAGAGAATACCCTCCCCGCGAATGTGGGAGAAGATGAGAAAAGGAATCCCTCGTAATCCAACGCAGTACGAATGCACTCCCCCAAACATGCGCAGAAAGCCCACTGGCATACCAGAAGCTAAGTATACATACACACAAAATATAAACACCATTCAACAACCTTCCCACCGCCTCCCGTTACCCCATCTCCGCACTTCCAAACCAAAGGTCCCAGAAACCCAAACCCCCCAAACCACCTAACTAGGCACACCCTCATACTCCCACCCCCTCAGCACCCTCCTCGCACCACCCCTCCTCGCCTCCCTCCGATTCGCCGCACACTTGACGAAAACCGTCGCCGCCGCCAGCACGAAAACAATCACGGTCGCCACGACGGGGACGACGACAATGCGCGTCTCGTTGAGGTCGATGCGCGGTCTGTACGGGCACGTGGCGTTCGCGCCACCATTGGCGGTCCAGCAATTCCGCGTGTGCAGGGAATTGATGTTGATATACACCTCGTCGTTCCCGTCAACAGGGTCACTATTTAGGGTCGACAGAGCGGAGAGCAGCGCGGCATTCTCGAGCGGCGTCCTCGGGACCGCGAAGGTGTAGTCTTGCGGACACTTTCTGTCGGCCTCGGTGTAGGTGGCTTTCTCCCTCGACACTGTCCAGTTGAACGGCTGGTTCGGATTCTGGCACGCGGCAAGGCGGCGCGAAGTACAGTCTGTGGTGTACCACCGGCCTGGATAGGGGTCTGCGGTGGAGAGAATGGCGCATCTGCGGGACTTGTCGCGGGGTTGCGTGGTGATGTTGGAAGGTTCGGAAGGGGTCCAGGACCAGAGTGTGCTGCGGGTGAAAGCGAGGTAGGGGTTATAGTTTTGGTCGGCGGTTGTGTTGGAGAGGGTGGTATTTAGAAAGGGGGAGATTCCGCAGGTTGTGCAGTTGGTAATCGCGGGAATGGCGAGGTCGATGTTGGGGTTCTGGGGGAGGGAACGCGGAGGAATGAGGGATGTCGCCCATGAAGAATTGGCATTGGGATTTAGGGATCCGCTGTGGGTAAGACAGCCACTCGTGAAGTTTCCCTCGGCGTCGATTGTGGTGTTGTGGATAATGAACAGCTCACCAGGACGAAAGATGGAATGGTAGTCACCAGCGAAGTTGTAATCGGCCATCTGCGGATCGATTGTTCCAAACCCGGCGAGCACGCGGTGGAACTCCCGAAACGTAATAAAAGTCTCTGTAGGCCAGCCATCTCGAGTCATCCTAGTGTCATCGGTGCGCCGAGATGTTGAATAGTACCCGCGGGCAGGCATATTGTTCCATTGGACAGCGAACCAGGTCTGATTGAGGTTGTCCCGATCTTCTTTAAGCTTCTTTGGTGTGTATAACTTTTCTGACAGGTTCCCCTTAATGACGTCGCTGATACGCCGTCCTGGTACTGGGAATTTGTCCAAGCTGGGCCGTGCGGCGGGCTTGTTGGGCGCCTCTACTGAAGCAGCCGCGTGGATGTTGAGAATGAGATACGACAGTGTGGCCTCGGTGGTAATGTCTGTATATTCGAAGTAGTCATCCAGCAGGCTTGTTAGGAGCCCCAAACTCATTGTGGCGGAGCAAACATAGTCGTCAAGGTGGAAGAGAGGGGTTTCGTCACTGCCCGAAGGCTGCGGATCCGGAGAACGAACTGCGGTTGTGGAAGTCGATATGGCGGCCGGAAAATTAGTGGTATCCAAGAATGTGCTAATGGGTCCCGATTTTGTTTCCTCGGTGGAAGTGGCCGTCACTGACGCCGAGGACGACACTGACACATCCTGTCGTGCCCACACCTCTAGGCTCCCTCTGCTTGGTCCGACCGTCACGGAACCTCCATCTTGACTTCGACCAACTCTTATAATAGAAGCAGATGCATCCACTGATTTCTCTCCCCCGGGGGCAGCATCACCTCCACCTCCACCATTCACTTCAGGCACCTCGACCGGACACAATCCCCAGACTCCCCTCCCGGCATCCCAAAAGACATCCACCACAAACCTCCTAAACCCAGCAGCCAGAAGATTTGAGAAGCATCTCCGGAAGGCGGTATCCTCGTACTTTTGTTGGGCGAAACAGGCAGCACGGAGCGAGATGCCCGGGACGGTGAGGTAGTTGATTGGTATGTTCAGTCCGACATCGCGCTGGGACTATTGGAGAATTAGAAACGTGCCTGGCCCTCATGGTGCGTGACTGTATATGGTATTGCGGGAAGGATACTATGGAGTGAAAGGGAAGTCATGTGACATCTGTGGTTTGAGGCTGAACAACAGTGAAAGTGGCTGTGCAACCAACCCCTGCTCACCGTTGCTAAACCCCCGGAATCATAAAACCGCTGTTATAAATATTATACGAAACCCACCGCACGTACGGATTTCAACCTCAGCAATAACCAGAAACGGTATGTATACGTACCAAAAACGCCGTCTCCCAAACACTCTGCACCTTGTCCTCGTCCTCCGCGACCAGCGCTGGATCCGGACCATAGAGTCCTGATTTCGGGTCGCGCGTAAAGGAGATTCTCGTAGATGTCATCTTCGCATCCAAAATCCCCTCCCTACCACTCCTCAAGGTTCGTCAACAGCAGGTGTCGACATCGATAATCCCATCTATGGGGCTGGACCAGGCATGCGGATCCGTTGCCCGCAGACCAGGAACCCAGGAACCGGTCGTCGAGGGTACCAGATACGTATCTTTTTCGCTTGGGTAAAAGGCCCTGTCAAAAGTGTGGTTGTTCGTAAGATGAAGATACCGGATGATGCGATACCTAGCCCTTGACAATCCTGAGTGTGCTGGGATGACAGGGTATGGAAATGCGGAGGTGCGGCGTAGGCCAGCGTGTTCAGCACAACTGGAACGAGGACGGGATTCTGCAATGGATCAACAAGAAATTGCGTCTCTGTACGGAATACATCAATAATTGTGCTCAATTGAGAATGCTGAATTGAAATGGCCTACGATGCCCAGCTGTGAATCTTGATGGAGCTTTCTTTGCATGCCCTACATCACCGCTGTGGCGTTCCCAACCAACCTTCCCACAAGAGCTCCTGCACGTGACCTCTTTCTATTCGCTGGATAAATACATATGTATCAGACAGCCAATCACGACTATTCCTCCCTCCTCGTCCAAATTGCCCGAACAAGAAGGTAGACTATAGCAAACACCTTTTATACGTGTCAGGTTCGAGGAAGAATGAATAAACGGGACAGCCGGACCCCGTAGCCGCTCGTTCCCTGGGTATTTTCCCACCATTTCCCAGCAATAAGGGGGGGGAGCCGGAGAATTGGAAAACTGGAAACCGGAAACTGGCTTTCCTATTCCGCAACCATCATCCCACACCATTCAAGGCTTGGTATTTCATTCTCTCCCCTCTGCCGGGTACCGCCTGGCCGAACCCAAGTCCCGGATTTCACCGGTAGTCTAGATGCTCTGCCCCTCCATCCCATCACGTCCACCTACCCACGCTTGTTACCGCCCCGTAGCCTAGGGTACTCCGTACACAACTCCGTATCCCAAATATACCTTCCTCCGACGCGCGCCCGCCTTTGTGTCGGTACCTTATACACTATATACCTTGCTCGCGGCTCCCGTCCCTGCTCCCAAAAACGTACAAACTTACATATCACGAGATTTTACCAGGACCCTGTTCCCTGTTCCCTGTTCCCCCTCCTCCGACCCGTTCCCAACAAACGTGCCGCCCCCTGCTCATTTTCCCAGCTGTTTGCCTTTTCGCCGGGGGCAGGACTGATGAAGGATTTATTATTCGTCATGGGGCCCTAGTACCTCGGTAGCTTTCCCCGCAGTACCTCTGATGTCTGAGGTTGTAAGGGTGGGAGTAATAAGAGGTGTGTTAAGATGGAAGGGGGGTTATATGTAGGTGTTTTATAGGCGGGCGTGGGGGAGAAGCAAGGGAGAGAGTACCTAGCACTCGGTACCTTCGGGGATTCGAGCCGTGGGTGCGATCCGAGGAGGAGGTTGAGTTCAGGGTTCTGAGGCAGGGGGAAGCGATGTCGGTAGATGGGTAGATGGGTACCGGTAGGTGAAGGGGTAGTGGTGGTTTTGGGGTGTGAGTTGTGAGTTGAGATGTTGAGGGCAGAGATTGTGGAGGTAGAGGGTAAGTTGAGTGTTTTGCAGGGAATAGGAGGAGGAGGAGGCATTCTCTAAAACGATACTTTAGACCAAGTCCTTTACTCAGTAGGTCTCTTAATAGTGAGTACTATAGATCACTAAACTTAGGAGAAGTAGACTCTAGAGGTCTCATTACTCTGTAGTCTAGTCTAGTATTCACGAATACAAACCTCTGCAAACGTAGATACCCCATCTCACACAACATACCTCCCCTCCCTCCCTCGAACGCACAAAAGCCATTCCACACCCGCAACAACCAGCAAAATCCACATCTAGACTTCCAATGTTCCAAACCCCAATCCCCAGTCCCAGTCCTCGCAAGTATGTACCTCCATCACACTTCTGCCCCTCCCAATCCTCTCCCCTCGCAGGAATTCCCCCAACGAGCGCGGAGACCGTGATCCTTGGGCCTTCCCATCGGACTTTCAAATCGGCAGTGATGATCTCCCACTGCATATCTGCCTGGCTACCCTACCCTATCCTCAGCTGCACCACTCCTTCTTCCCCGTCCCATCGGTAAGGGCAAGCATGGCATATCCCCCATTCTCGGTACAGGCTTGAGGTAGACGCTTTTCGATCCCGTCTAGTTTCTATAACGGGAACCATCACGCCTGAGGCTACTAGCTGCATGCATGGGAACCAGCCGCGAAGCCTGAAGACTGAAGGCGAGGTTCGATAAAGCCCATGGTGAAAGTAGGCGTTTGTCTCACCACTCACACCTCGCCTCGTCCCGTCTGCCGTCGTCGTCCGCGGAACCTCTTGGGTGCCTGCTTTATGCCTGCCTCGTCCCTGCATCCCCGTCTTTCCACTCCCCAGCACTGCCCGTGATCGGTGAGGTGCGTACCCTAACGTCAAAACCCTGGCTACCCTAGGATACCATATAGACATGTAGACATTGCCGAAAATAGAAGTCCCCGACGAACGACAAGAACGACAACCCTCCGTACGATCCTCTCCTCTCCTGCAAGAGCGAGAGGCTCGCTCCCACTTCCACTTCCACGTGGCAGTTGGGAAACCTCGGAAGCCGGAGCGGAGGGCAGCAGTAGGTATAGTAAGCTGTGGCGGCGACCGTGGAGCCCTCGTAAATCGCCTCCTCGGCGCCTCAGGTAGTTGGACTAGACTAGAGGAGAGCGGACGGGGCAGACGAGACCGTGATCTGAGCATACGCCAGCAGATACAGCCAGCGCTGTCACTCACTCACGGCTACCCTAAGGAACTCCCAAGTAGAAGCGATTAGCAGCGGGTAGGATACCTATATAGGATAGGATAGGATAGGATAGCAGTGTACTGTAACGCAGTAGTGCACGACTCCCCAAACCACCAACCAACCAACCAACCAAGAGACAAGACCCGACTATCTGTGTCTCCTTAGCTGCAGGGACCGGATCGACTGAGAAATACTCACTCCCCTCGCACTCATTCTACACTCCACACTCCACACCCTATACGCTGCTACTGTATGCTGAAAGTAAGCGTCGTGATCAAGCCCCGAAAAAGCCACCCCACGCGGCCTCCCCTGAGTACATACCGGTACAGCTGGAGTGAGAGAGGTGATGACGCACATGAGCAAGAGCAGGACTTGCCCTCTCGCCTGCATCTGCCTCTGCCTCTGCCT